AATTTGGTTCTCTTACTAGCAAATGCTGGAATGACTGATTGTCAGATGGAATGTTTAAAGTTAAAATTGAATAAACTGTTTTTGGTCAAGGTACTACTAATTTATTTGCAAAAATCGGAATACTGGATTTTACATGAATTCTAGACTAGTAAAAACAAGTTTCTTTTTGTTTCTTTGGTAAGTCCAGGGCTGTGAGAATTCTTCAAGCTTATTGGCTACTGTGCACTAAAGATAGTAGTGGTAGTCCAGTGCATTGTAGTCAATTCAAAAATAATCTTTTYCCTCTCCAGGATGTCTTGCTGTTGTGCGTCAAACGCCTGGAAAGTTGCTTCAACTAGTACTGTTTTCAGATCAAGCAGTCAATGTTCAGGATTGGGTGCTCCTATCAGATCTGCATCAGGGGGGTCAAAGCCCCTACCCAGCAGGGATATAACAGGCTTGCTTGTTTTGAGTCAGGTCTAGTATGGTTCATGCTTAAAATCAAAACAGTGTTACTGCTGGTGGTGTATGCTCACCAGAGTCCCTGCTACTACTACTAGGAGATGCGGAAATTCACTCACTCATCAGTTAAGCTGCTGGGAACTTAGAGCTAGTACCCTCATAGTACTACTAGTAGTATTGGTGGTATGCAAGCAACACTAGCTCTTTGTCTTCAGGGCATAAATTAAAGGGAATGACTCTGCTTGCATTTAATTGTCTGGTTCAGCACTAATGCCCAATTGGGTGGGTGGATTAGAATAAAGATGTACTACTACTAGTAGTATGAGTAGTGGTAGTAGTCTTAATGCTCCAGCTTGTTTCAGTACCTCAGCTAGTAGTACTACTGGTACTAAATCTCCAGTTTCTTGCAAGACAATGAGAGGAGTAATAGTGCCTTGTTTTGGAAGTATGTACTAGTAGCTCTTTTCAAGTGCTGTCACCACCTTTACTTATCACTTGGATCTTCATTGCCTTCCTTGATTTCTTGCTTGAATACAGCGCAGCTGTTTTATCCTTCCTTTATTGGTGGTGTTTGCCCTCCTTTGGTCTGTCCTTCATTTTTGGGAATCCAGAGGAGTCTTGTGAAACATGGAGGAACYACCATGTTGATTTCACCTCCTCCTGGTCCAGGAAATTGTGATTGGTTTTGATTTAAAAAAATAGTCATTCAAAAAATGAAATTTGTGATCATCCCATTGGTGTGATCATTATWTATTTTGAATTCTGTCAGATAAATAGTTGTATGGCCAGTTTCAATACATTCATGATATCTCTGAAATTTACATATTATGCTTATACTATTCATTCATGTTCACATTATTGTATTACTACTACATGATTAGTGGTCCCATAGGAATGCTACTAGTACTCCTACTTCTGTGGGGCAATTTGTTAGTAGTAATACTGGAAATGATATATGAATGTATGTAATTTTGAGTCTTCCAGTGAAGGCATATATACAATTTCAGTCCATTGAGCAAATTTTGATCACTTTTGATCACAAAAAATGTGATGAAAAGAATTTTTGCAAATTTTGTGATGAGTTTTGATCACATTGTTTTGTGATCAAACCTAACTGCATAACTGAAGATAGGGGACCTAGGAATTCATATGTTTTTAAAAATTGAAAGTGACAACATGGTTCCAGCCAGAACTGCAACACTGTCAATTTTGATTTTTRGGGAGAAATATGAATTCACAGGACCCCCCCCCCCCCTTGGAATCCTGAAGATTGTGATTGGTTTTGGTCCCAAAATATTTGTGCTTTTAAAAACAAAATTGTGATGTTATTGTGATTGAAATCAATCACACATTTTAACCAGGCTATATTCTTGAATGTGTACTACTAGTAGTTCCAGGTTTGTAYGCAGCATTCATATATGAACAATGTATCCAACATTCATGATTGCGAACAAGTATTCCTACTACTAGTATTTTTAGTAGTACATTCTGCACAGCACAACCAGCAGATAGTACCAGTACCAGTAGTAGCTAGTAGTAGTGGTGCTGCACACCACATTTACCAGTCCTGTAATCTTATTCATTACTTCTGATAGTGCAGGAGCAGCACATGCCAGGGATTTCTAGTAGTACTAGTACCTGCAGCGTATATATTTACCATGCATCAACATTATCCATTGAAAAAAGGTGCTGATCAAAATTGGTGATGAAAATGCAATTTAAAAAGTCAGCAATTTCATGATGGCCAGTTTTGGTCATCATACTAGTAGTTATTTTGTGATAGGTTTTTATGATCAGATTATTGAAAAAGGGACCTGCTGGTTTGTTCCAGATCAAGTAAAGTGAGCTGCTGGTAGTAATACACATACTAGTTACAACTAAGTTGTGGACAATACAGTACTTGATGAATTGGAAGAATGAGGAAAGCTCTCCTCTGGTTCTATGCCATATATTGCATAAGCAGTAACCTCTGGGAGTTCATCTCAAGAATATAAATCATTAAATTAATAATTTCAACATGACAAAAAGGAAATGTGTTAGCTTTTCTCTCCAAGAATAAGAAAAGATAAACAAGACAATGTAATCTCGTCCCATTGCTTTGTTGAGTTGGTTGAAGTCAGCAATGGGTAGATTGCCACCATAGAAATTATAAATTATTGTATGATGATACCCTCTCACATAAAAACTTGTGACACTTGTTCTTAAATGCTTCCTCAAACCATTGATTGCTCCTACTGCTAGCAAACAATATTTCATCCACAGCAATGAGAAGACAATTCACTTTCYYATTCATCATCATGTGCAACCTTAGATTTGTCACAATTTTGATAGAAAGCTTGATGCATTGTCTGCCCATTGATATTAATTGCTGTTGTTTTATTCCTAGTACTACTACTAGTAGTAGCCATGTCTCCTGTCGTGGTGACAGCAGGAGGAAAGTCAACTCCCAATGCTTTGCAAAGTGGCTACTGTGAATGCAATTTTGAAAGTTCAACATTTAATAGTGACTGATATTTCCCAAGTTTTTTGTGTTTCATGGCAGTACTGGTACCAGTAGTAGTACTAACTAGTAGTAGCTTGTTTGAATTCAACTTATTAATTCTCTAACAGTCTGATATTTTCCAAGCTTCCAGCAGTATATGTAAAGTATTTCTTGATGGCTTCCACAACATTGGTCTCTTGGATGACAACATCAAAACTTGTACTATGCAGAATATGATGACACAAAATATATCTTGCTTGGTAGCTACTTTCTTTTCATCTTTTGGATTTTATTTTGTATGTCATCTGCAAAGGAACTAGTGTAGTGTAGTTGAACTTCTTGTTGCTCAGTGTTCTTCTTTCATGGCAACAATTGTTAAAGTGTGAATTTGCACCTACTAGTACTACAAGTAATTCTATCATTGTCTATCAACAAAATTATTCTGAAGTTCATAAAAGAAATTGGGACTACTTGTAGCACTTTCATCATTAGTTTCCCAGGTCAACACTGGTGATCTCTAAAAAATTATGAGACTTGCTGTTTTAGGAATCATACTACTACTCAAAAATTGGGAAAGTGGTTCTCTTTACTCTTGAGATGACCTAGTAGTTATGTTTAAAATATATGATTTTTTGTTAAGGTACTACTAGTCTAATACTAATTTACTTCAAAATTCACTAAAAAATAATGTTTTTGTTTCTCTGGAAGTCCAATCCAGTGATATTTACTACTATGATCCTCAAGGTAACTTACTTTGCACAATTAAGAAATGGTAGTCCAATGCAGCATCGTCATAGTACTAGCCAATGACCATCTGTTCTGATAAACAGTGCTAATCTCACCAGCTCATCCTCCTCCCTCACACCACCACCTTGATAGGATCATATGCAACCCCTACCAGCACCAAGAACTACTACTACTATTAGTACTACTAGTACTCCTAGTACAAATCCTCCACAATCTGGTAGTACTACTAGTACTACTACTACTACTACACCACTGATTGAAAAATCATGGGCACCTGATACACCACCATGGGTGATTGAAAATAAAAAATCATCCAATTTTTGGTTTTTGGATGATCTGTTCTTGCTGCTTTTTGTTGTTGCTTGTCAGCAGCACATCCAATTGCTGTGGACAAGAAGAAGAAGAAGCACCAAGAAGTCAAAAATTACCAACACTAGTACTAGTAGTAGTACTAGCTACTAGTATGATGATAATAGTACTAGTAATTGTTTGGGGGCTTGCAGGAAATAGTAGGTCCAATAAGTAATTGTTTTGGGGAGTTGGAAATAAGTCCAACAGATTCATGGGTTACTTTTGGGTCATTCGTGGTTTAACTCAAATTTTATTTCATGTCAAAAATAAAACAAATTTTGATGTTTAATGGGAAAAATAACCTTCGAAAGAAATCATGCCCCCGAATTATGGATTTTAAAGGGGGAAAACGCGTGAGTGTTCCGGAGGGCCCTCCCTGGATGGATTGCGACCGTACCGGCACGAACTCGAAGTCTCCTTACTGAGACCAAGCAGAAACACAGAAAAGGACGACTATGAGTTTCGCTGTGAAACACATTCTTTCTGAAACGGTACTGGTACTGAAATACTCGTACCCCTTACAGTAAGTATCGATGAAGGGATACTTTTTTTCCAAGAATAAAATATATCCAAAGCTTTTTATCCGACATCAACTAAGAGTACGTAAGCTACGTACCGTACGAACCCTAATTTAGTCCTATGCACTTGCAAAAGGTTTGTAGGCGCCAAGAACTTTTTGCGATTCTGAATCGCCTAGATTTATGGCTTTTGAAAAGTCCGATCAAACACAATTATATATGGTCGCAACAGCATTGATACTTATAGAAATCATCTCGATCCCGATTGATAACTCACGTAGAGGCATAAGAACGAAAGAGAAAGATGCTTCAATGGTATATTCGCACTTCAATGGTACAAATAAAAATGTCTTGTTACAAGCGATTGGATAGAAGAAGCAAGAGAAGGAATCAGGGTTAATTATTCCAACATTCGGGATTGGTAGTGTGTAGAACTATGTTCTGCAATCTGTAATAATTAACTAAATAATTGATGTCTATCATACCGGTATATCATACGGCTCAGGCAATGTCCAGTGCACCCTGTTCTTCAGTTGCATCTTTCACTGAGAAGCGAAGCCAAGAAAAGCCTATTGCTATCGCACTCTACGTCTACGGAACTCACGAAGTGCAAAGTTATACAGAACAGGTTGCAAAACTGACGTGCTACAGTCTTAATACGGTACCGTACGTGTCCAAGAATTTGATACCCACGAATCGCATCAAAAAGTATCACATCAAACACAACTAAACAATAGCGACAACAGCACCTACACCTAGACATGTTTCATCAAAGTAGTAGTAGTAGTAGTAGTATCACACAGTAGTAGCTACGTGAATTGAATTCCAATGTCGGAGCCACTACAGCATAGCCAAGGAAGCTGTATCAATATCAACAGAGTGGTCTTCGTTGATGATATCGAGATGGGCAGCGACTCGAATTTCGCTTCCAGCGAGAACACAACGACCGGAGACGAAGTAATGGTGGAAGGTATGGCAAACTCGAACGAGTTCTCCATCGTGGGACCACTTCCCGACGAGAATGAGAGAAACCAAGCGTCGTCTTCCGAATACAGCCACGACAACAGCAGCAGGAACCAGAACCAGAGCACTTCCTTTCTAAAGAACCGAAAGGGCAAGGCTCTGCGCCGCGGCTCCGGCGCCACTCAGAGTACCTCCGGAAACAACAGCGGCCTCACCGGGAGCGTCTCGCTCCGATCCCGGTCCTCCCACTCCACGGGGGGATCCAGTGGCAGCGGCAGCGTGTACTCGCCCCATTTCAAAGCGACCCCGCGGCCCATTTGGTACGGTCGGTGGCTCTTTTTTACGCTGCTGTGCCTGGTAGCGGTAGCCCTCGGATACCTCACCTACAGCTCTCTGTCGAACAACGAA